CTAAAGTGTAATTTTCCTCCAAACAAAATGAGTTGACATATACTTCCAATTCCAGGTTTTCAAATCTCTCTCACTTAACGTGGATAGAACAGTCACACTGCAGTAAGGGGATACATCCCTGCCCCTCTCCTAAGTTCATTCTTACCAGACATCCAATTTCATCTTGGCTTCACAGTGGGGAGAGAAATGACCTCGAACTATGATCTCATAAAACAACATTTTAGAATTGAGCAAAACAGTAGATTCCAAGTTATCTTACAAAACAAATTATTTGATACATTATAGGGCTGAACTCTACTGCAATATTTTCAGCTGCTCTGTGTCAAACACTTCTCTAGCTGGCCGGACATTTTACAAAATCTGACTTCAGAAGAATTGTGCAATAATAATTCCCAATTCTGGCTAGCAAACACAGCAACACAGTGTTTGGGAATAAGAAGGGGCAAAGGAACAGATACAACTTTGATACTCAGTGTTTAAGCCTAGCTTGGAATCACAAAGGTAACTATCTAAAAATTAAAATCATCCTTGCTAGCTTGTCTTTTTTAAAACAAACTGTTCAAATTACTATCAATGAACCTTAATTTAATGTGCCTTTGGGTAAATGATTTCCCCTCATTGGCTTTTCATTCTCCTCATCTGTAAGTTGTAAAATTTATGAACAAAATGGTCTTCCTTCTACATTTCACATCCCACATTATTTACTAGATTTGTGAAGTGTTATAATGGGTATGGGCACTTTCTGAATTGAATTATCTGACTATTGAATTTTGCCAAGCAGTTGTAGGATTAGTTATTGCATAGATTTCAGATTTTTCTTATCACCATAGCCAAAGTTATTTTTAAAGAATAAAAAAGAAAAAAAGTACTACCTATATATTTATTTCAGAAGAGATATATGATTTTAAAGGCTCATTCAAAAAAATACTCAATTTTGAGGGACCAGGAGTACAGCCTAATGTTAGATCATGTGCAAAGCCCTGGCTTCAATTCCCAGCAATAAAAATATTTCTATTTTGAAATAATTTTGTATTTACAGAAAAATTGCAAAAATAGTATCTCACATCTTAAGATATCCTACACCCAGATTTCCGTACTGTTAATCATAACATATTTACTAAAACCAGGAAGAAGATTCTTTAACTAGAGATCATATTTGAATTTCACCAATTTTTTCCCTAATGTCTTTGACCATGTCACTTCGGATGAGATCAGATTTTCTGTGGAATGCCTCTTGCTTGTGTCATGGTCATGATAAGAAAAGGCCGAGGAATTATCACAGATTAGAGGAGACTAAAATATGATGAGTAAATGTAATGTGGGATTGGAGACTGGGTTATATAACAGAAAAAAGATGCTAGGTAGAAAAGAAAAATCAAATAAAATCCTTGGTTTACCACAGAGCTTTGTACAGCATAATTTTCTGCTGATGATAACTGTGCTATGTATGGTATGTAAATTGTTAAGATTAGGGGAATCTGGGTGAAGAGTACAAAGGAACTAGCAGCACTGTTTTTGTAACTCTTCTATAAATCTAAAGTTATTTCAAAATAAAAAGTGAGGCTGAACTATCAAAACAGGTTTATTTGATTTCTAATTGTAACTATGTTTTTCTTTCAAAAGTAGGTTTCAAAATGTCACTGTGATGGATAATTCCTTTTTTGGGACAGTGGTGAGAAGATAGAGATCCTGACTCTCAGGGTGACACGTGTTGTCTCTGTGTCTCTGTAGTATAGTTAGGCTTCTATGATGGAGGTTATAAATGATGCTAAATCTCTGCATCTGAAAACCATTGGTATTATGTTGCCAGGAGTTTAATTTCTGGTAAACCTTTCTCCAGTAATCAGGCAGAGTAATACTTAATGAAAAATAGTCAAATTTTAAACTAGTGAGAACTGTTGAGACTAGTGATACTAACAGGGAGTATACTGGTATCTAGGGCCAATTTTAGCTACAAAGATAGATTCATATCCACATGCCTATGCAACAAATTTCACTTGCCACTATAGTCTTATGGTTGTGATCATATATGATATTTGAGGACACAATGTTAAGTTATTTTATATGCCTTCTTCTCATTCCCATCTTTTAGAAATGTTTATGGCTTGATATGACTGTGCTCTATGTCTGGTATATGACATATACCAGAAAATAATTATTATAAAACTACCCAAAGTAGGGCCAGGGATATAGCTCAGTGGCACAGCACCTGCCTGGCAAGCACACAGTCATGAGTTTGATCCCTGGTACAACAAAACAAAACAAAAACAAAACAAAACAAAAAAACTACCCAGAGTGATGAGCACAGTAGGCAGATGTGATGGGTTTGGATCTTTCATAATGAATAATGATAGCCTTTATATCCTTTCTGAATAACAGGTAACTGCTATTTCTAACCTTGAGAAAAGTTGTAAGACATCATGATATTAATGAAGCAGATTAACTCATCTCTGAAAATAATTGCAAGATTGATTTAGTTTTAAAAGTGATCAACCTTTGTTAAAACCAAGGGATGTTCACTAAAGTATCAACCTAGATAGATGACAAACTGTAATAACAAGAAATTGGCATAAGTACTTTGAATAGAACTTTTGAAGTAAACTATGCCAAACAGACAAGACAACTGAGTTGAAAACAGCTGCATAGCAACATGACACAAGTCTCACCTATGCAGCTGGAAATAAACCTACACGCTGCACTCTAGATTTCTATCTGAAGATGGTGCAGCCTTCATCACTCAATACTTAAAATTCATGAAGAGATGAGCACAACACTTTAGCACAATGCACAATCAGCTATCTGGCTCACCCTTCTTATTTTCCTAACATTTCTTCATTATGAGGTGAGTATAGGACACTGTGTCTATTGCACCTATTATAAAGGCAAAGAATCATCATCTGGTAGAGTACCCAATGCTAATGGAATCCTGACAAAAATAAAGCAAAACAGAAAACAAAAGCTGCAGCCCAAAACTCATCCAATGATTGTTTTAGTTATTTAACCACTCGTGAAAGAAATAGTACACAGATGAATTTCAATGGTGTTTCAATTATACAAACTCAAGAGAAGTAGCAAATGCTGCAGCAATCATCAAGGTATGTCCTTTGTGATTGTAGTTATGACGGGAGTTCAATCCTCATAGGTCAATTACCCTCAGCTTAGCATTGCTTTCATGCATATCACAGATCAGAAATAATGCAAAAGAGAACTACAATGTGTCTGTGCAGAGACGAAACTCTGATAATGTGCTATCTAAATGGCAAATTAAGTATTTATTTGAAAGGCTTTGTGCATTTGAAATATTAAGATTTTGATTAAAAATTTGACAAGGTGGGGATTATGCATATTTTTTATCCTGTATGACTGGTCATTGTTATTAACATCATGCACAAATTATTTTTTAAAAACATGAGATTCAGTGAGAAATTTATCTAAATAATTAACTGACATATATATTCATTAGCCATTATCTATTTTGTCTCTGAACTAGACATTTTCTAATCTTTAAAGTGCAGTATGCATTTTATAAACATTCATCTTCTATACTATTTTCTTCAAAGCATTTATTTTATGGTAATTCTTTGTCTTTAAATAGGAACATTGACCTAAAGTATATGGCATCATATAGAGGTTAAATCTCTCTTGGGCAGGAAAAATAAATTCATCTATTTAAGTAAATGCTGATCATCCCTGATCTGAAAATCCCAAGTTCTCCTACAATGGAACCTTTTGAACACTGGCATGATGCTGCAAGTGGAAAATTTAACACCTGACTTTCTTGACAAGTCACAGTAAAATGTAGGTACACTAACATATTGTAAAAAGTCATACTCAGAATATGTGTACAAAGAGTATATGAAACAAATTAACTTCATAGTTAGACTTCGGTCCAATCTCCAAGACATCTCATTGTTTCTATGGAATATTTCAAAATATGAAAAGCTCTGATGGCTGAAACACTTCTGATCCTAAGAATTTCAGAAAAGGGACACTCAACCTGAGTTTAGAATTTGAGAAAAAGTTTTTCTTAGAAAGCTATTATGCAAACCAATTCAGTCATAAATAAAAATGTTAACAAGGGAAAATTGCTCATGAAGAGGTAAAATACTATCATAAATCAAAAGAGTTCTTTTAAGCTTAACTCATTTTGATACATTCTGAAAAAATGTTAATTACATCATAGAAAATCTTCTTAATTAAATCAAGAATCATTACTATTTTGCACCTGTTTTAATTTGTACATCTTTAACCTTAGTTTAAGAATATGAATGAAGTATGAAATATAAAAGCCAGTGCATCTTCTTGTACTATAAACACTTATTTCCATTTCTCCATAATACTTCAGATGTCCACATATTTTATTTATACTCTACTACATAATATTCAAGTTTTACAATCTTAGCAATAGGACTTTCTTTACAAATTCATGCACAAGTCTTAAATTGGTCAATCAGGTGTTCAAGAAGAAAATTTAAATAAACTTAGTTTTATAGTAATATATATGGAGTAGTAAGTTAATGTTTGAAAATATACTTTCACTAAAAATGTTCTAGATGGTATAATTGTCCTCCTGAATAATACGATGTTCTCCAGGTACTTTCTCAGTCTGAATTTGTTTATCTTCTGACAGTGGATTGATCCATGCTAAGTATGATATATATCGTAATTCAATGAAAGGATTCTCTATGTTATAAAAAGATTTTGATAACTGAATTCAAAACCTAAATCGTATACCAAAAGATAAACTATAACAAGGCTGTTTCAATCACTCACTCTACAAACATTCTAAACTTTTTATTCTTGAAGTGTATCTATCTTTATAAGTGCACTTTGATGGAGCGGGGATTAGACTGGTGTAGTTCCACAAAGTCTATATCCTGCCTTAAACAACAAAGTTTATCAATTTCAGGCTGTCATACATTTTACTCATTTCACAGCATAATTTATTTCAAAAACAGAAATCAACAAATTGAAATTCCATGCATTTACATGGTGCTTACCTTTAGAGAATCAAAACAGGCCATCACACGACCATTTTCCACATGGCAAGCTCTTGGTGGATGAGCAAACTTGCAGTCTGCATCACCTCGGGAGCATGTTCCTCTCTGAAATTCTCTGCAGACCTCTAAAGTCAGCCACTTGGCATCACGAATCAGGGCAAGGTTGACAGCCGTCATATTGTGAGCAAAGTGCAAATCAAGTGCACACTTTTTAGGACAATATCACTACTGATTTTGAGAGGATTAAAAATGAGTCTGAGCTCAATGCAAAAAGATAGCAGGCTGCTTTGGTGCAATGGCTATTTGTTAGCACTTAGGTTTTCGTTTAAGTCAAATCTAATCTGGTCAAACAAAGTCTCTCACAAAAATCAAAGTTGTATCAGAATAACCAAAAGGCTAATTAGAGACCAACTCTGAAGAAGGCAATTGTAAAGGTTGAGATGTTTTATTTTGTTAATTTGCTCAGATAACCGGTGAACTTTCAGAAGAATTCTGTACCACCTAATTGATGTTTTCAAAAAGCATATGCTGCTGATGGCTCCTCAAACTGTTCAGTGGTCTCAGGCCAGGGAGAAAAAGTTTTCTCCCTGTCTAGCTTTTTTTTTTTCTTAAATAAAAAGAGTAAGATAGGGGAGGCTGTTTCAGGAAACTGAGAATCACAGAAAAATAAAACAATAAATGCAGTAAACTAGAAGCACACCAGGTTTCTTAGAGGATGAGGGGCAGGGAAGGGGATGATGGGCAGAGGGGTTGGAAAAGAAAGTTCTAGAGTAGAATCCCAGAAGCAGTTTTCAGAAAAGGCACTTTTCAGAACCTGCAAGAAAAATAAATAAATAAATAAAATTAGCTACAATACTACAATGATTCCTTTTCAAACTCTAGATTTAGAAAGAAAAGTAATCATTTCCTATCTAAAGCAGGAAGCATCTACATACTGACAGTGCAACACAGTATCTAGAGTCAGCTCTTGTCAATAAAGAGGGCATTTCCCAGTCTAAAATTGTACATAGGAAAAGCAAACAACAGCTTACACTTACTTTTAAACTACAAAACTGAGCAATAATCCTGTTTTAAAAATTATTGTATATATTTTTTCTGTTTAGGGCAGGAATTCATTTTTGTGTTCACTGTACAGAAAAATGGCATATCAGTGGTGGTGAACCTTTTTGAGCTTTCAATGGCAACAAACAGCCAACTGTGTCACTCATGCCATAGGTCTGCCACCCATGGCATAGTTTAACATGACAGTCCCTTATGCATTTACAGTCCACTTATTTGTGCCCAGTTTTTAGAGGTTATCAATGATCTTTCACCTAATCTTATTATGGTATGGTTAAAGGCTTGATTATCTCATTTCAAAATCTAGTAATCCGAAAGTGCTATGAGAATTTATATTGTTTGAAGAGGCAGCTTATATACTGGAAATGTAATCATTAATAATCTCATGAAACAGTTACGACATGACCAGCTGGAGACTCACTGCGTAAGAGGTAAGATGGAGACCTGGAAGTATAAAATGTACTTCAGATAAAAAAGAATTTGTTGTAAAGAACCTGGATTGTATCCCCCACCTCCCCCCAGGTCTGCTTCTTAGTATCTATCAAGACAAACTGGAATGACTTTGAAGATTTCAGCATACACAAATAAATAAGAGAGAAAGCCCCATTTTGTAATTCATTAAATATTTTGCAGCTTTAGGGTTTGTAGTTTAACCCAATATCAACAGCAGGGTCAAGCAACTCAACTCAGAAGATCCATGAAAGTTAATTTATAGGCCATATGACATGAACTCATACCAAAATAACACTAAGGCAAAAGTAAATTCTGAGTATCAGTCTCATCAACTAATTGATAATGCTTCAAAAAAGCGGTATGGAAATTATTGAAAATATTTTACTTTTAAACAATATTTTCAGTAACTTTACAGAGTCTTTATTTTTTTATATTCAAGAGAAAATCATTATCAATTGATTTTTCAGGTATCACTGGGAAATTAATTATCTGGAAATTTTAAATCTTATCTATTCAAGAACAAAACATATTCTCTGAGTCATTCTCCATGAAAATCTTTCTAAATTGAATAATAAGTAGATTTACCTTCTTAAAACATATTGAAGGTAAGCTAGCCTCTGGGGAATGACTTGGGGTTATTAACATCTTGACAAGTATAGCTCTTCTTCAGTGCTGTTGGTGGTAACTGCTGTCACTTTTCTTACTGCCACAATATCTGCCACCACTAATTTTCTAGTTCCTTTCTGGCAAACCCAATGGCCAGTCATTACTATTGAAAAAGAGTCAATTATTTCATGAGGGACCAAAAGGGCAAGGTGCAGTAGGTACTGACCTCAACACAAACCTCTAACTCCCCACGAATGAACACCAAGTACAAAGACTTAATACTCATAAACCCACACTGAAGTGAGTCACTGAGGCAAATATCGCTCACTTATTGTTGTCCAGATCCCTCTGGAAGAGCATACTACTGTTCTCATCTTACAGATGGAGTAATGGGCATAGAAGAAAGGATAAGTAATTTGATTTGCACAACTTGAATTGGTAGGTGACAGGATTTAAAAACCTTCACCAGTTTTCAAATTTGTTTCAAGTTTTTGTTTCCTCCTATATTGGGGTTGCCATATCACCACCACACATTCTGGAAAGCATCGGAGAGGCGTTCTTCATAGTATATGGAAACAATGGTTCCATAGGCATCCTACAGAAAACTCGAGTTTCTGTTTGATAAAATGGCCATAAAAATACAGCTACTTGCCTAGGTGTAGATCTTTTCTATTAAGCTTTTTAAAGTTTTATTGCATTTTTTCCACAATACTCTTGGAATAATAAATGTCATATACCATTTTTGAAAAGCAGGTAAATCAAAGCATTCTATTTCATCAAGAAGTTAAATAACCTACCTCAGTTCAGCCATATGATCATAGAAGAAAAGGTAGGAGCCACAGTGTCTCTTTTGAACATAGCTGTGGCAATGGATACTCCTGGTTTTGTCAAAAGAGTTCATTTTTAAAGATCTGCCTATTTTGATAATATACAGAATTCTGGGAACTTGCTGATAAATGCCATTTGAACTTATTAAACCAATCTAATTTAATATAAAACCAAATTAAAAACTGGATTCTAAACATAGTCATTAGTATAGTACTTGCTTATGTGCATGGGACAGAAATCTCCATGAAAAGATGTTTGTTCACCAAAACTATATTTAAGCTAGACAAAAGCAGGAGTTTCACATATTAGGCAAGTCTAATCCTATAATCCTTAAGCATTTGAGATGAGTGAAGTACAAAATGTGTCACAAGACTGATGGCATCCAATATATGCAAGATAATTTTGCTGACAATTCATTCAACAAATATGTAATAAGTACATAACACAACTAAGGCACTATTGAAGGTACTGAAGAAATAAAAGTAAACAAGACAGAATCTTTATCTTTTGAATCAGACCTTCAAATGAGGATGGGGGTTTAGCAAAAAACAAATCAACACAGGCATCACTGATTTAATCTACTGGACAAATATTTGCTCTCAAGGTAAGTGAGGTCTTAAGATGTTCATGTGGAAAAATATCATCCAACAAACATTTATTGTTGACTGACTGTTTGCACAGACCTAGGACACTTGACTCTTGGAATATGAAGAACTTCAAGATACTGCCCCTGGGCCCCCAAAAGCCCCAGATTTCACTGGGTAATGAAGAACAACATATACAAATTAAAAGCAAAATTCAGCAACACTAAAAGCATATTCAATAAGAATTCTAAAAAGAGAAGGCTCCTAAGGCCTGGAGTAGACAAGGCAGTGGAGAAGAAAAAAGTAGAGGTGGGCCTCAAAGAATATGTAGCTTGGTAGGGCAAAAGGGCAGAGACCATTCTTGGAAAGAACAAGAGACAAGGAAATCAGACAGCATGTTGTAGCATACATGGTGGTAAGAACACACGGACTGCCGAGGATGGCAGCTTCAGCCTGGGAACAGAAAGAACATGTGGGCAGTTCCTGAGGAACCTAGAGAATGGCATAAGGACTACTTATATGTTATAGAAACAGGAGCCTCTCCCAAAGTCTGTGAGCAAAGCAGACTCTGGCCATGTGTGTGGAATATTAACAGTGATCTACCCTTGGGAGCTTACAACATAGAATCCGAGTAAAGTTCACCCATGTACCATATCCTGAAAGTACAAAAAGGTGAAGAGGAGTGGGTAAAGGTCAGAGTGTTGCTCTCCACTTCACAGGCTCTGTGAGGCCATGCTAGGCAGTGGTTCAAGTGCAACCAGCATAAAATGTAGGCTGACAAACAAGTTTAGCTTCTTGTTTGCATTTTGCTAACTATCTATGGAGCAATGTACTCAGTCATCAAGGACACATGACTGCATTTGTAAAGTCTGGGCTGACTCAAATATTTAAAAAATCTTAATATTGACACGAAATCTTTTTTGAAAACATAGCTGAAATTTCCACCAGGGTTTTGTTCAGTTAGATTTTGCTAGACAACAAGCTTCTGCCAGAAGCTAAATTTAGATAGTAATTTTGACTATAATGGCATCCTGTAAATTCTTGCTATAAAGTTCTAACCAGCATCCCAGTGAAATGAAAATATTGTTGGTCTTCCCAAGGTACATATTTAATTGACATTTTAGGGCCAAAGTATTCACAGACAAGATTTGGTTGAACATTCAATGCTTGCCCCCTATACCAACCCAGGCACTCACACACATATTGCAAAATAACAATCCACTGCTATTACAGCTTAGCCTTTAAATATTTAGAAACAGTCCAACTCTCTAACATGTGTAGGGGTGTGTGTGTGTGTGTTCGTGTGTGTGTGTGTGTGTGTGCGTGAATGCACGCATATGTATGTGTGTGGGGGGGGGCGCTAGGGGTTAAAACCTGGGGCTTGTATATGCTAATTAGGGTGCTTGAACACTTAGCTACATCCCCTAGTTCCCAAATATCTCTTTAGTCAAACATGTGAGTCACATGAGGATGTCTATTAGGCAGGAAAACTGAGGTGGCACCTAGTGATTTAGTGACATGAGGAATTCATTGCTATACCCAGGAGGGCTAACTTTTTGAATTCATTGTTTGAATCATAGCCAATAAATTCAGATTTTCAGTGTCAATACTAATCACTCACTCTTTGTTAGGAGCACTTATGAAACAAGATGAAAGAAAGAAAAAAAACAAAATGTTGGGAGATTCCCAAATGCACCAGGATTTCAAAGACTAAATGAAAACCTTCTAGCAGGCTTAAAGGGGGCTTATGAAAATTGAGTTTTCTAGGAAATATGAATGAGCACTGTAACCTTTTCAGTTGAAGTCTTTGCTTGTAGAGCCATTATTCTACATTCATACCACATACATGACCAATCTAGAGATCAACTGACTGGAGTTCATGGAAACATCAGCTACTTTAGGGAAGAGCAGAGACAAGATGGAACTTTAAATTCTCTGTCTACAAATCTTCATATACTTATGAAATTATCCATCTTTAAAGCCTCCTGAAACAAGAATGCTACTCTTGTCTCAATATTTCAGTATGATTTATGCTAGATTGAAAAACATAGGCCTTTCTTTATAGAAAATTTTGGAGGACCTATAAAAATAGGCTGGCTTTTGAACATCTTTCAAATGAATTCTGGACAAGTACTCAATGTCCTTGCTAACACTGAAGAAGAGTGTATGACTATAATACAATCACAATAGCCAACGGCCCAGATAGAATTGTTCTCTTCTATCTCCCAAGGTCAATTTCAACAAGTCTCAAAGGAAAGGTTACAAAACTTCCAAAATACAAACC